TATGGAATAGGAGGCAAACGAGCAGACAGATCACCTGATGGTAAGCGATCAGCGCCGCCCATGGACACCCTATGTATATCGTTTTTTATCTTTTTTTATATATAATTCTTCTGTGAGTGTGTATGTCATTGAACTTCTCTGAAACGACTGGACCGATTTTGATGAAATTTTTTGTGTGTGTTCAAGGGGATCTGGGAATGGTTTAGATTCACAAATCAGCCTGGCATATGGCGCTGCAGTCGATGTTTAGGTTATTTATCCTAAACAGCTGAACTAATTTGAATAAATTTTTGTTTACACATTCAAGTGGATATGCAGGTTGACCAACGTCTGTTGGGTCCGCTAGTGCATATATAAAAATAGATCCCTTTTGTCCTTGGTCACGGCATCACGCGTGAATGTCTGGACCGATTTCACTAATTCTGTTTTTGGTGTATTTGCTATTATTAGGAGAAGGTTCTTATGATAGAAAAGAAATCTGAAAATCTTACGGGGAACGGGAGAAAACGGGATTGCGCGTAAGAAGTCGCGGGCAGAAGCTAGTAAATAGTAAATAAATAAAAGTCTTTATAAGTTATATGCCTACTTTGCTTATATATTTATACACCGTCCATGCACATAGCATGTCGTCATGTAGTATCAATGTACCGAGTAGGGACAAGCAAATAAGTACAGTCAAAGTTTATCACATTCACAGCACACCGCATTACAACATCACTTGCTTCAGTTTTAATTGGGACACTTTATTTGGGTTTTTTTATATAAATATATATTTCCTTTAATTGTTTATGATAAATAATTTGTTTTGTATGAATTTAATCTTAATAATTATCGGTAATAGCGATCCCTTTTGTACAGTGAAGGACTCTTCACACATGAGAAAGAAATGATTATGAGTCGATAGAGCTGAAAATTATGAATCAGCTATTTTCTTCTAAAATTGCATTCATTTTTGATAGAATTCTTGTAAAATATCCTCAGTCCTGTCTACGACGATGCTTCGTTGACAGTTTTCATTATTTTTAAGCAAGATGCAAGTATTTGTCATTTGTAATTATAATTGTCATTTGACGAATGCGTGGACAGTAGGCCTATTTTAACAGCATCGCCATTGAAATATTAAGATTATTATTATGTACGAATAGCGTAGCACTATTGCAAAGTCTGAAAAGCACATGTATTGTTTATATCTTAATAAAATCTATCCCACGCAAAGAATAAACCAGAAACACACGATGGTAATTTGTATTTACTTATTAGACCATTTAACTAGAAACTGAATACAATTTAAACACAGAACTAGAAATAACCTGTCACAGAGTGAGAATGTATTACTGATATCCTATACGCTTCTATCTCACTTTCCCTAAAACAACCCATCATAAAACAATGTAAAAAACATATAATAAATCGAGTAACGCCAGGGGACATATAGAAGCTTCCGATAAGCACAAGACATGCCAGTTTAATAAGATAACGGTTCATATATGTTATAAACGAGCGGTTGTTTATGTTCTGGTTATCGGCCGCGATAACAGGCTGAGATCATTCGGTGTATATTAAATTATTGTATGTTATATTCACTTGCTTAGGTACCTATATTATGTAGGTACGGAAGTAGTACATGGTTAAATGAAACTTGTGAGAAGTATCTTATATTTGCAACTTAGTAATTCAATGGGGATTGTTTTAAATTCACTAAACCGTGATGTACCTATATAATACTAGCTACTTCCAAATGGTTTAACCTGTTCTGCTCGGCGCCTATTGATCGTAGCGTGATGTTTTATAGCTTATAGACATCCTTGATAAATGGGCTATCCAACACAAAAAGAATTATTCAAATCAGACTTGTAGTTACGGAGATTAGCGCGTTCGAACAACCAAACAAAAAAACAAACTCTTCCGCTTTATATAATAAGATAAGATAAGATAAGATATTATATAAGATATAAGATAAGATAAGATATTGTGTATTAGAAAATAAGGTTTTGTTTTACTTATTTCTCACTACCATTTAGGTAACCCTTTGGCATACGTTTAGGCGAAGACTGCTACGTCCTGAAGGGTCCTATTACACATATATAGGAAATTAGGAACTAAGGACATACACGCGTGTTGAAATAAGGTATAAACCTACTTATAAGTTTAAGATTGGTAAACACTGAAATCCTAAAAAAAGAACACTTTTTTAACCGACTTCAAAAAAAGGAGGAGGTTCTCAATTCGACCGTATATATGCTTTTTAAACTATAACTTTCGTGAGACATAGGTACTAAATTAATTATTATGTTTTCGGTTTACTCACGTAATTATTTGGCCAGGAACTCGACTAGTTTCAAGCCTTGCTAGAGGTACTTCATGAGCAGCATTCGTACTAGTCGAGTTCCTCGTTAAATAATTACGTAAGTAAGCCGAAAAACATACATAATAAATAATAAACAACTTGTCTTAAAAATCAAACAAACTCAAACATATTTATATCTTGCCAGGTTTATCCAAGAATTTTCTACAAAATCTCCATCAGCTTTCCCGCCATAAAAAAACCGAATCACATCCATAAACAAACCACAGAATATATAGCGGGCGTACGTCAACAAGAGTACCACAGATAAAAAATAAATATGGTGTTAAAACAACCCTCGAAAATGATATCTTTAGGGAAAGTGTCCCTTGAGGACAGGGTTCTTTATCGAAAACATTTCGAAGTATCGAAATATAGTGGTTATGATAGTTAAGTATATTTTTTGGTGATATTAAGTAAAGATATAGTTAGTACTTAGACATTGATAAATAAGACGATGCGACTGCGACGCACCATGGGCTTTTTTGTGTACCTATCTTAATTCTTGTTGTGTGTCGTGGCAAAATAAATTGTATTTCTTTCTTTCTTTCTTTAAATAGATATATTTTGTGCATCATATGGTATTTTGTTTTTGAACAACTTAAATGTCTTAAACTGTATTTGAACACATTTCATATGACAAAGACGTGGAATTATCGATATGTTATAACATAAACTTTTACGCAGACATTTTGAAATAACTAAGAGAATTATTTCAGATAAATTAGCTTAAAATAAAACCAAATCTGACAGGCCCGATGCCGATTCGGAGTCGTAGAGAACCTAACGGGTTACCGGGGCTCCGGCTCGACGTGCAGGAGAAGGAACGGGGTGGTTTTTAGTCAGTAAGAGCCTGACACTCCCTCCCGCCTCACCCGGGCGGGAGCAGTCATTCGATGATTTTCCCCCCTTAAAAAAAATGCAGGTTTATCTTCAAAACAAATAAGAGTTGACTAAAATATTGAAGAATATGTAACATAACATACACATAACATCACGTCTTTTTATCCCCGAAGGGCTAGGCAGAGGTGCACAAAGACGTAACACCCACTTTTCACTATTTATGTTATGAGTCCCATGTAATAGGGGGTGAGCCTATTGCCATATACCGGGCACAATTCCAGACTCCGTACTACTACTGAGATTTTTTTTTAAACCCAGTAATACTTTGCGAGACCCGGGAATCGAATCCGAAACCCCCTCGGCCAACGACACAGTCGAAGAATATATTATTATGATTTGAACTTCAGACTACACACTTCATGGCTGAAATCGTAATAACACAGCTAAGAAGCCTATGAAAAGTTATAAATGTGTGCGTCTCAGGTCAGCCAATGGCGACAGGGCACGGGTCACGACCTCGCGTCATTGGCAGGATCACGCCTCAAAGTAATTATTTATGAAAACCGTTTACTTCACTTTGTGAGTAACTGTTATATAGTGAGTTATGCTTTTCAGTTCATTCCATTGTGTGATTATTATTGTAGTAATAGAATATAGACTGATTGCCTCGTTGGCTGAGTCGTCGCGAATGCGGCCTGGCAAGGGGTTTCGGGTTCGATTCCCGGGTAGGGCAAACTACTATTGGGTATTAAAAAAATCCCCAGTTGTAGCACGGAGTCTGGAATTGTGCCCAGTATATGGCAATAGGCTCACCCCCTTTTACATGGGACTCAGTCATAGCATAAATAGTGAAGTGAGTGCTACATTGTACAGCGGCATTAAGTGCCGTAATGTGCACGTCTGCCCCCCTGTAACAATAATATTATAATTATATAAGTTTATTATTCCACATTGACATACCTAATATTAAAATTTCTTTCATCAATTCGTGGCTACTCATTACGCGTGTAGTTCAAAGACCTGACGAAGCCGATCTAAGTAGCTTGCTGCTACGTTAAAATAAACCTTAAGTCTACCACTTTAAGGTGGATGTTACAGTTACATTTAGGTATATAGCTTATTTCCATACGATTGTTCGTTTTCCTGGTACATAGGTACAAAGATTAAATTAATACTGTTACTGACCTCAAGTAATCATTGCCGTGAAATTCAGTAGTCAAGATACCATTCCTCGTATTTATTTACAACTAGTTACTTCCGCGCGGTTTCACACGCTCTGCTCAGCTCCTATTGGTCGTACCGTGATGTTTTATAGCTTATAGCCATCCTCGATAAATTCACTATCCAACACAAAAATAATTATTCAAATCATACTTGTAGTTACGGAGATTAGCGCGTTCAAACAAACAAACAAACAAAAAAACAAACCCTTCCGCTTTATATAATAGTATAATATATAATATTTTTCAAAACAGGCGTTTCCGAGGTCAATGCGTTGTCGGATAGATGTTAGTGAAGAATTAACTTTTAATAATGGCTCGAAGGACTGACGGCAGATGGCAGGAAAGTCCTTGGGTGGAGACCACGGACTGGAACACGAAGCGTGGGCAGGCCTCCCGCTAGGTGGACCGACGACATCGCCAGAGTTGCGGGGAGCCAGTGGATGCAGGTGGCGAGTTGTCGTCCGACGTGGAGGACTAACGGGCCTTTGTCCAGCAGTTATGATGAATGACCACATTTCAAGCACAATACCAAATTCAGTCATATTGCTAATTCTTTTTCAAACTGATTAAATAGGTGGGTACCTAATACTATGCACGGCCCGGGAATCAAACCCAAAGCTCCGCGGATACACGACAGTGTACCGCACGCCGTGGTAGCTATATCGCGTCACACTGACAGCTGTGTCTACTACACGGACATAAATGATGACGCAGTCAGCAAAATAATCAGACGGGCGCTGGGTGAGGGTGAGCAGGGAATCCTGGACTATAATCTAAAAATGGGAGTCAAGAATAGAGATGCGCCAGTTGTGGGCGCCCTTCTGGGTGGAGACGGTTCGTAAAGCCGCATAACTGCTGAAAACGTCTAGATATAAAAAAAATACATACATTGGTTGTTGTGTACATGTTTTGGTGTGTTCGCTAAAAATTATATATATCTATTAATAACGTTATTAATGTAAAGCAATAAAGTTTATTAATAATCTAATAAAAACCACTGGCTTACTGCCGCATGGCAGGGACGTCATGCATTCGTAAATGTAAGCCCAAAGCTCGGTAGACACATTCAACTTATGAGTCAGTCAGAATATTTAATTTTCAAAATACAAACAAATGTCCATTACCTAGGTAAGGACTTAAGGATAAAGATATCTGGGTCTGCAATGTCAAGGTAGGTAATTTGACCGCGCGGGTGCGAGGGGCGGGGTCCCCGCTCTATTGATTTTCAGCCACAAGATGAAGCTTCTTGCCATTCGCCGTGAAAATGTCCTGAACATTTCGCAATCCTATTTACCTTCGTGTGGAGTTTCTTTGATTTCGAATATGGATTGAATGGGATTGGTTTGTGCTCGATTTTGAGTTATGATGACGTATAATATTATTATTTTATATACAGATAATTTGTATGCATAAATGGATTTATCGGTCGCTAAAAATTAAGTTTAAAACTAATAAAAAGGACAGCCATTCTTAACTAATATTCTCCATTATCTACTACGTTACTACAAAACACTCAATTTCTAAAATATTTATTTATTATTTATGTACATACATACATATAATATAAAGGATAACGGTACCACCTCTTCCTATAGGATTTATTTTGCCTGCTGTATTAACTGCTTCGTTGGCGAAGTTGGTCGCAAGTGCGACTGCCGGGCAAGGGGTCTCGGGTTCGATTCCCGAGACGGGCGAAATATTACTGGGTTTTTAAAAACAATCTCAGTAGTAGCACGGAGTCTGGAATTGTGCCCGATATATGGTAGACTTACACCCTATTACATGGGACTCATATCATAAATAGTGAAAAGTGGGTGTTACATTGTACAGTGGCATAATGTGCACCTCTGCCTACCCCTTCGGGGATAAAAGGCGTGATGTTATGTTATGTTATGTTATGTTACATACTCATATATTTTGTTATACTTCGTTGATTTAATCCTATTCTTTACTCTTTTAAGAGTATTATTATTTTGTATTATACATTTATAAGTATCTCCATTTTTATTGTTTCTATAAACTTTGTACTTGTGTGCTTATTTATTAAATAAACGCTTTTTCTTTCTCTCTTTAAAAAAGTAAAATAAATCTTAATCATTACAAATACCCCTTCATAAACAGTATTCCAAACACAGACACTTTAATCAACATAAAGCGAGTTACACACAGTCGTTTAAACCTCTAATAATAACAGCTCATACAACCATACAGTGTGTACCGACATGAAACGGGCGCCCTCATTAGACCTACGCTTTGATCTCGACCTGTATGTAGGCTTATATGAATAGTACTATGTGTCTACAGCCTTATGTTTCGTGTTTATGTTAGTTTTTAATATTATGTTGCGTTTTTCGAGTTCTGCATTCAAAAGGATTTATATTTTAAAATAAAGAGTTACAATGAGTTAAAGATGGGCCGGCCAATACTATGTCAGCAATAACAATAAGCATTGCTTCAAATCAAAGTAGGTAGGTACATATCTAATTCAAATAAATCATAGATGCAGCTACTATAGAACAGTAAAAATTAAATTATCAGTCAATATGTAAAGCTTACAATGTCGGCCCGGAGGTTTAAGACGCCCACTTCTCATGCACGATGGTGCGGGTCCGAAACCTACCAACAGCAAGTACCAATGTGACTTTTTCAGAGTTATATGTACGAGGATTATTTAGACACCACTGACAAACGATGAAGGAAAACATCGTGAGGAAACCTGAGCTTATAATTTCTAATTATTAGTTTGAAATCGCCAACCCACATTGTGCAAGCGTGGTAATTAATGCTCAAACCTTCTCCGTGTGAGAAGAGGCTTCGCTCAGCAGTGGGCATTTATAGGCTGTTGATGATGATGAGTTAAAAATGCAAAATTCTTGATGATTTTGAACTTAATCATTTAAAAAACATACATGATAATATACATATGTGATATTAAGTAGATCTCTATCATGATTTAATAAGTTAAGTAATGACCAACTTGATGGTTTATAATATACTAGCTACTTCCGCGCGGTTTCACACGCTCTGCACAGCTCCTATTGGTCGTAGCGTGATGTTTTATAGCCTATAGCCATCCTCGATAAATGCGCTATCCAACAGAATAAGAATTATTTAAATCAGATCAAATTACGGAGATTAGCGCGTTCAAACAAACAAACAAAAAAACAAACTCTTCCGCTTTATATAATAGTATAAGAATAAGATATTTGATGGGCCGACGTTTGACCACTATCTCACCTAGTGGTAAGCTATGACGCGGTCTCCGACGGAGCACGGTCCCATAAGCAACCTATTCACTCGGGCCTTGAAGACTCCCAAGTTATACCCTTCAGGGAACACAGACTCTGGCAAAGAATTCCACTCCTTAGCAGTATGCGTACTAACCAAGTTTAGTCTAGATCTGTTTTGTTTATTACATATTTTTTTGTCATTAAACATAACATAACATCACGCCTTTTATCCTCGAAGGGGTAGGCAGAGGTGCACATTATGCCACTGTATAATGTAACACCCACTTTTCACTATTTATGTTATGAGTCCCATGTAATAGGGGGTGAGCCTATTGCCATATACCGGGCACATTTCCAGGCTCCGTGCTACTACTGAGAATTTTTTTAAAACCCAGTAATACTTTGCCCGACCCGGGAATCGAACCCGAGACCCCACGCTCGGCAGTCGCACTTGCGACCACTGGGCCAACGAGGCAGTCAAGTCAGTTTTTGTCATTAAAATTATTAATTATTATGTCACATTAGATTATAAATTTGAATACTTTTATCTAAGTAGCCACGGATATAGGTAACACTTAATACCATATTGAATTTAAGTCCACCTACAAACAGAATAATAAACTAGTATCATAAAGGTATAAAATGGCAATATTTTAATCAGCTCAATCGGTTCCTATAACCGGCTGAGGTAAGGGGATGATCCGGTTTAATCCAGTTCGTCCTCATTCATCCTCTATTCATCCGGCCGTCCTTTGATCCGGGTATGAGCCTCGTTTGATGTGAATGAGCTAGTGAGCTGGCGAGCTTATTGGACTATATTGGACGAGGCATAGTGGTATTATCAATTTTTTATTTTGTAGCTAGCTTTAAAGCCGCGGTTTTGGCCGTGTGGAAATTAGATTTTTCTTTTGTTGGTATACTAGGAATGTCAATGAAAAAGTATAGGTACTACGTTATGAACTGGAAAGTGAAAAGTAAACTTTACAATGATGAAAGGTTTTTCGAAATTGGTCTATTAGTTTAGAGCAAATTTATTCAATGCAAACGAACAATCCAATCTGTCCTTTACTTGTTTTGGTTATGCATTTAACTATATTTTTGATTATATACAGATTAGAGTACTTATATAGATGTATGTAGGTGAGTTTTCGGATTCCATTACTTCATTGAACATTTTTTTGAAATTGCTTGCCTCGGGGTAGCACCTAAGATATTATGATTAGTATTATGGTAACTCACTACATGATATAATTGCATAGAGCAGTCAGTCAAAAGCTTTCTTCTCAATTATAACATAACATAACGTAACATAACATAACGCCTTTTCTCCTCGAAAGGGTAGACAGAGGTGCACGTTATGAGTCCCATGTAATATGGGGTGAGCCTATTGCCATATACCGGACAAATTTCCAGACTTCGTCTGCTACAACTGAGATTTTTTTTTAAAAACCCAGTAATATTTTGTCCGACCCGGGAATCGAACCCGAGACCCCTTGCCCGGTAGTCGCACTTGCGACCACTCGGCCACCGAAGACGAACTCAGTACATTCTTCTCAATTATACATACATAACATCACGCCTTTTATCCCAGAAGGGGTAGGCAGAGGTGCACATTATGGCACTGCACAATGTAACACCCACTTTTCACTATTTATGTTATGAGTCCCATGTAATAGGGGGTGAGCCTATTGCCATATACCGGGCACAATTCCAGACTCCGTACTACTAATGAGAATTTTAAAAAAACCCAGTAATACTTTGCCCGACCCAGGAATCGAACCCGAAACCCCTTGCCCGGCAGTCGCACTTGCGACCTCTCGGCCAATGAGGCAGTCTTCTTCTCAATTATAAGTATAAGTAATCGCAATTATAAGTATTCACTTATAATTTCGATGTCTCGTAGATCTTGCTACGCCGTAGCTCTTCGTAGCAAGAGAGTTATCGTAGATAATAAGAAGATTAACTATAAAAAATATAATTTATCACGACTTCTATTCAATACTCACTCACCCCCTATTACATGGGACTCGTAACATAAACAATGAAAAGTGGGTCTTACATTTTACAGTGGCATTAAATGCCATAATATGCACCTCTGCCTACCCCTTCGGGGTTTAAAGGGGTGATGTCGTTGGCGATTTCAAACTTATAATTAGAAATTATAAGCTCAGGTTTCCTCACGAAGTTTTCCTTCACCGTTTGTCAGTGATGTCTAAATAATCTTAGAAAGTACATATAACTCGGAAAAAAAACATTGGTACTTGCTGTATCTACTATAGCTGCGTATTATACTTTACGTCTTTTTTTTTAAGCGGGGAAAATCATCGAATGACTTCTCCCGCCTGGGTGAGGCGGGAGGGAGTGTCAGACTCTTACTGACTAAAAATCCCCCCGTTCCTTCTTCTGCACTTCGAGTCGGAGCCCCGGTAACCCTTTAGGTTCTCCACGACTCCGAATCATACTTTACGTTTACCCCCACTGCGAATGAAATGAAGGACAAAATAACACATGAATAACACATGAAATGAAGGACAATAATCATAGTTAGCTCTAGCTTTTGAAAATAAGCCACGCCTTCTTTATATTGCGACTAATAACATAACAAAGTGTTT